ATGTTTTGGGAACACAATTCAGTCTGTAACAACAGGTTTAACAAATTGTCCGCATCAGAACTCTCCTCTCCTCCTTGGAATTTTTGTGACCCTCCAAATTTGATCTGAATGATTTGGTTTTAATTGGTTGAATGTAAAGTTTAACCTTCCTGATCCTGCTTCTGTCCCCGGCCAACTAATTCTGGATGTTTGATTAAGGGCCAAACAGCTAAAATTATGTTGCCTTGTTGTCTTGATTGCTGTCTGCTGCTGTGCCTAGTTTTGCTAGGTCTTATTTTTTGGGTTCTTCTAGTTTTTTTTTCTTTTTTCCCTAATCCAGTCTCCTTCCCTCCTTGCCCAGTAACCTTCCCCCTGTTCCCCTCATAGTTACGCACTCCTGTTTGTCCTATATTTCCTCTGTGTGAATGTTGGTCCTCTGGTGTCCCGTGGTTTATTGCTCTAAGGGATGTATTACCATAGAGTATGTGGGTGCATCACCCTGGGTTGAGTTGATGTGTGAACATCTTGTTAACTATTAGGCTGAGAGCCAGCCCCTGGGAGTGAGTTTTATTCCAGGCCCAGAATGTATCCTAGGACCATAGTATTGGGGGTCTCACCAGACTTCATCCGACCAGTAATTCTGGTCTGGTAGTGTAGTGCCTAAGACACTTGACTGCTAACCAGAAGGCTGGCAGTTCAAACCCACCAGCCATTCCTCGGAAGGAAGGTGGGCAATCTACTTCTGTAGTGATACCGCCTTGGAAACCCAAAGAGGGGTCACTATGAGTCGGGTCCGACTCGAAGGCAAATAACAACAATAACAACATTGAGTTTTTGGATTTTGTTCCACATTTTTCCTCCCACTGTATCCAGGATCTCCAGATTTGATCCTTTCCTGAGTAGCTGGCATTGGTAACAGGGGGCCATCTAGTTTTTCTGGTCTCAAGGGCCATCGTGTCCTAAGGCTGATTGCTTCCAAATGCACTTTTTTCTTTTATGCACTCTTCTTTGCTTCTGACACTAAGACCAATAGCTGCATCTTAGATGGCTGCTTGAAAGCTTTTAAGACCCAGTCTTACTCACCAACGTAGGATGAGGAACAAGGCTTTTATGTATTGTTGTGCCAGTTAAGTCTGGTACCCCCCAGTACTATGGTCCTGAAACAGTTGATCCGTTGGATCTCTCTCTTAGTGTCTGGTTGTCTGTGAGGGATTGCTCTGTGTCTGTCTTCTTTTGTTTCTGTAAGGACTGCAGGTATTTTGTATCACTGGTGTCTGTGCAAGATTAGCCTCAGCTGAATCTATCCTTGGTCTAGAGTATAATCCTGTTCACTGACCCCCATCTAATCCTCTCAGGCATTTATGTGTATATCTGTAGCCTGGTGTTTGGTGTTAATGGTAATGTAGTATCGTAGGCACACTGGTTGGTATTAGCATCTGTCGTCTATCTCCTATGTCCTGATGTCTCTTAAATGCCCTCTGGTGCTGTTTGGTCAATTTCGTGCCCCTTAGCCCCTGCTCCAAAGAGGGAACAGGAGGATCCCATAGTGACTACTTACAAACCCCAGGAGGCCTAAGCCGAAGAAAGCAGGTATCAGTTGAATCAGAGAATTTTTCAGAATTTTTTCTGATTTTCCTTTTTTTTTCCATTATTTTCTTTCCTCTTCTTGCCACACCAATTTGGCTTTTTAATTTTACCTAACAAGGCTTTTTCAAAATAGGTCAGTAGGGAAAAAAAATAAATCTTATTTTATTTGGCAGTCAGTTTAATCTAAGTCTGCCCAGTAATTTCCTCAGGAAATTTTTGTTGTTGTTGTTTTTCCCTCCCTTCCCCTCCCACCCCTGGTAACCAACAAAGAAAGTTTCCTTCCATATATAAACCTTTCCTTGACTTTTTACAATAATGAACTAATATAGTATTTGTCCTTCTGTGATTGACTCATTTCACTCAGCATAATGTCCTCCAAGTTCATCCATGGTATGCAGTGTCTTGTAGATTGTACATTATTCTTTAGGATTGCATAGTATTCTGAGGAAATACTTTTTAAATGATAAAAGTAATGACCGGAGTTGTTCTGGCATGGCTGCGCTGACCTCTGCTGTTGTTTGAAGGTCATGGAGGCGGAGCAAACCAAGACCAGGAGCGAGCTGGTGCACAAGGAGACGGCAGCCAGGTACAACGCTGCCATGGGCCGCATGCGGCAGCTGGAGAAGAAGCTCAAGAGAGCCATCAACAAGTCCAAGTGAGTCTGGGTGCAGCCTCCTCGGGGGTGGAGGTATTGTTCTCTCCGACTGCACCTCTCCACCCTTTATGTTCCATACGCTCAGCAGCCTAAGCAAGTCCTTGACATAGAGCTTGGGGCCTGATTGGAGCCCCTGCCTGTGCCCCTCTCTGACCCACAGTGTTCTCCATGGCCCTCAGAGCAAGAGGTAGGAGGATGCTGAGGGGTGGAGCTGCTCCCTACTTGGAAGACACAGAAAAAGGAATTGAAAAGCAAATGGTTGTGTGGCCCATTGGCTAGGGCCTGGGGTTGGGCTTTGGGAGACTCAGATGGTGCCGTTGGCTCTGTGACTAGCAATGTGTACAAGGCCCTGCCCCTCAGTTTACCTGTCAGTATGATTGGGATGAACATGTACACAAGGCTTGTTCTCTATGGGTCAAGAGCTAATGAAATGCTATAGACTGGTTTCAATGGAATTTTTGTTCGAATTCTTATATAATGTTGCCCAGTAATGATCATGATGAGCAAACAGCCACGTTAGTCCTTTCTTGGGAACAGTCCTCTGCTTCATTCACAATTGCTGGGCCTCCAAGCAGAAGGGGGAGTACTGGGGATGATCAATAGCTGTAGATGAACCCGGAGCCTAGTGAGTGAACTCTACCAACCTTTTAAGACCCCTGCACTCAGAACAATGTAAGCACAGATCCTGAAAGCCTTGGGTGGCTCCCCCCACCTACAGGATAAAATGTAAATCTGCATCCCTCCATGCCCACCCTGCCTTCTCACCCTTGCTTTGGCCATTTGCCACAGCAAGTGGATACTCATGTTTCTTCTGGAAGTATTCCCACTGCCCTTGCACTCCTGTTCACGCTCTCTTTCCACCTGTTCTTGTGTCACTGAGTGAGGCTGACGTCTGCTCCCTTTGGTCACATGTGCACCACCCCCCCCGCCCTTTCCCATGTTCCAGATTTTCCATACCCACCAAAGGCAGTTCTACAGGGTCCCCATCATCCTACTAGATCTTCAGGATGCAGGACTTGAGAGCCTCGTGGAGGGCAGACATCTCAAGGATAAGGCATGGGTCTGCTCTTAATGCTTAGACACTAAGCTTCCTACAATGAACCCGGCTCTGTGGGCTGACAAAGAACCCAGGGGACTTGTCAAATGTTCATGTTTGTTTCTTTTTTTTTTTAAATTTTTATTGTGATTTGGTTGAAAGTTTGCAGTACACATTTTGTTTCATGACATTGACTGCAATTCCTCACAGTGTAACAGCTCTCTTCCCACTTCCTCCCTGTAGTTACCTCTTCCCCATGTCCTTCTTTCCTATGCATTCCTGCCCCCTGAGCTTTCTCCCTGGGCAAACACTGCCCTTCTGTTCTCCCACAATTGATTACTCCAAGGAGTGTGTTTACCTAAAGTAAATGTTCACCCCAAATGCCTTTTTATTGTTTGTCTGGAAGCCATAGGAGTGAGTTCAGTTCCAGACCTGAAGGGTAACTAACTAGGGGCCATAGTCTCAGGGTCTCACCAGGTGATCTCAGACCAGTAAACCTGGTCTTTTTTTTTTTTTTATGATTTTGAGTTTTGTTCCACATTGTTCTCCCACTCTCTCCAGGATCTCCGGCACTAAATATCTGTGTTTCTTGTCCTGTCTCGTGTTCTCTGTCTTGCTGGGTCTGCAGACTCTTGGCACTGAGCACTGAATCAGACTGTCCAGTACCTCTTGTCCTGGGCCAGGATGACCAACAGGAGACCCCTTCCTTTTGTGACCCCACTGGGCTCAGTGAGGGGAGACATGACACTATCCTTCCGTAGTTGTCCTCAGTAGAGGATGATGTATGTTAAGCAGCCCCTTTCTCCAGCCTCACTGCTTTTCATCCTTGGAGAGCCAGCCTCATTGGGAGAAGTGACCTGGGTCACCTGAGCCACTCAGCACTCCCTATATGGTGCCAAACAGTGTGTGGGATGGGTGTGCACATGTGCACGTGTGTGGGTTCCCTGTATCTTGAGATGGGCCTCCCATCAGTGTGCCCTGGCTGAGCTCAGCAGCTCTGTCTGGTGTCAGTGTCAGCCAGGCCTCGGAGCTGGGAACATCACTTTCAGCTCACGGCCTTGTCAGAGTTTATGAAGTCCTGGAGGAATGGCTAGGCCAGCTGTAGTCAATGCCTCTGGTCCACCCCAAGGAGTTTCTCATGGTCATTATATATTACCCTTATGTTTTTTCCTCCCTATCTTTTACAGGCCTTATTTTGAACTCAAGGCAAAGTACTACGTGCAGCTTGAGGTATGTGTGTGTGTGGATTTGTTTTGGTCACTGATGGGATTTTTTTCTGCCTCACTTTTGTGTGGTAGTATGCTTTCAAATATGGAGCCCTGGTGGCACAGTGGTTAAAGTGCTCAACTGTGCTGTGGGAGTTGTGGTAGTCTGCTTCTGTAATGATTTATAGCCTTGGAGCCCTGATGGCACAGTGGTTAAAGGCTTGGCTGCTAACCGAAAGATTTGTGGTTCAAATCCACGCGCTGCAGGAGAAAGATATGTCAATCTGTTTCCGTAAAGATCACAGCCTAGGAAACGCTATAGGGCAGTTCTACTCTGTCCTGTAGAGCTACTGTGAGTTAGAATTGACTTGATGACAGTGGGGTTCTTTTTTGCTGTAAGGAGAGGCTGGAGAGAGGCACATTTTTCCCCTGGGGTTTCAGGCAACAAATGGTCTTGGTTGGGTCTTCAGGTGTCTCTGAAGCTCTCTAAATCTCCCACCCAGTCACTTTCTATATTGTTCTAGGGCAGTGGTTCTCTAAGTGTGGTCCCTAGACCAGCAGCATCAGCATTGCCTGGGAACAGTTTAGAAATGAAAATTCTAGGGCCCCATCCAGTGAACACTGAATCAGACATTCTGGTGATAGGGCCCAGCTATCTGTGTTCAACAGCACTCCAGGTGATTCTGATGCACGTTAAGTTCGAGAATTGCTGCACTGGGGAGCAGATAGCTAGATTGTATACTGGCTGAGGTGTTTGAGGGAATTCTGTGTGATGAGGCTTATTCCCCTAGTGGTAGTTTCTTGGTCTTAAAGCTTGAGTTTGTTAACCTGGGTGAGGTTGGGTGAGGACGATGGTGGTGGCTGAATTTATCTGGTGAACTGATAGCTGAGGTGATGTGAATAGAGAAATCAGGGCATAGGTCCTCAGTCATATCTTGGGAAATCCTTAGAAATGGACTGATGGGCAGATGTGCTTGAAACTGTCATTTGAAAACCATGTAAGGCCAGCAGGGGCAGCCTTCACTGACTGAGCCTCTTGTTCCCTCACCAGCAACTGAAGAAGACTGTGGATGACCTGCAGGCCAAACTGGCCCTGGCAAAAGGCGAGTACAAGACAGCCCTGAAGAACCTGGAGATGATCTCAGATGAGATCCACGAGCGGCGTCGCTCCAGTGCCATGGGGCCCCGGGGCTGTGGCGTTGGGGCCGAGGGCAGCAGCACGTCTGTGGAGGATCTGTCTGGGAATAAGCCTGAGCCAGATGCCATTTCTGGTGAGCAATTGTTGGGGGGGGGTGTCATGTAGTCTGTGTGGGCCAGAACAGGTCTGCCTCCAGGGCTGACTTGTCCCATGGTCACCTCCTCTCTGGCTGTCACTAAAGGGTCTCAGCTGGGCAGGCCTGAGGGCTATTTCTAGTATATTCCTATGTCTTATGGAACACTGTGTTCAGCTGAATGTTACTGAGTATTCCTCAAAGTCAATTCCATGCTCAAGTAAGTTTGGAAAATGATATACTTTCACTCCTCTTTGAGATTCAAAATATACTTCAGAATATTCAAGACTCTGAGAAGTCCAGCAGAGAAGACGACAAAAAAAAAAAAAAACAACCAAAACACGAGTTGTTTCCAACTCATAGCAACCCCTCCTGGGTTTCTGAGGCAGTACCACTACAGAAGTAGACTGCTCAATCTTCCTTTGAGGAGTGGCTGGTGGGTGTGAACCACCAGCTTTCGGGTTAGCAGTCAGATGCCTTAGGCACTATGCCACCAGAGCTCCTAGGGAAGAAGAGTTGTTTAAAAATACAGACATTGGAATCAGATTTGATTCAAATACTGGCTTCTATCATTACTAGTACATGATGTGGGCAAGGATTTGACTTTATACCTGTTTTTTCACCTGCAAAATGGGCAGTATGACAGTATCTAAAACTCATTGCCATCAATTCTGACTTATAGCAACCCTATAGGACAGAGTAGAGCTGCCTCATAGTGTTTCCAAGGGTATATCTTTATGGAATCTGATTGTCTCATCTTTCTCCAGAGGAGTGGCCAGTAGGTTCAGACCACTAACCTTTTTAACCACTGTGCCACCAGGACTCCTTATGCTAATACCTTCTACCTACTACCTACTGCGTGGAGTGGTGGTTAGGGTTCAGTGAAATGCCTGGCACCCAGTAAGTATTCAGCAGATGGTGGTGTCTGCTGGTCTTACTGCTGGTGTCTGTTTGGTAGAGACCTTTTCCCAAGGGCCACTCCTTGGGAAACTGATACAGTGTGACTTGACCCTCTTTATATTAATCAAGGAAAACCCTCCAGCAGTCTTTACACATGTCTTTTCCTATCCTGTGGAATAATCCCTGTTGGCTCTTTCCCAAGCTCTTTCCCCAGGAGTTCTTTAATTCATTCAATAGACATTTAAATGTCAGGCCCAAAATAAAGGAAAAGCAAACTATAATTTGAGTGATGATTGTGTGTGAGGTATTTTGACAAACATTGTCTCAAAAACTCTATATGGAGAGGAAGATGAAGCTCAGAGAGGCTGAGTAACTTGGCCAAGGTCATACAGCAAGTAGTGGAGTTAGCATTTGCATTGGAGCCAGGGCCCATTTTCTGCCCCAACATTACAGCACTTTCCGTTTATAGTCATCCCCTAAGGAATGCTACAGGCTGTTTTTAAAGATGCATTACACAGGGCCGGCCCCTCTTCTGAGTATGTGTGGATGTGTTTGGGGATGGGGTAGAGAAGAGGTCCTTATCTGACTGAATGAATCCTCCACCTTTAGGCAGTATACACAGAAGGGCAGTGGCACTGATTTCTACAGCAGAGGCTAGCATGTTGTTGTAAGGACACTTTATGGGCTCTAGCTGCCAGCTAGCTGTTTCCCCTCAAGCTGCTTCCATGGCTGGTCAGCAGGCTCAGGAAGGGTCATGTTCCTTTTAAGGCACTCACAGTAGCAGATCCTGCAGCCCGTCCATGTTGCCCAGCTGTTTGCCAGCAGCATACACTCTGGAGGTATTTAAGGGGCTAAAGCAGCTGCTGTTGATTCTGACTCATGGTGACCCCCTTGTGTGTCAGAGTACAACTGTGCACCAGAGTTTTCAGTGGCTGATTTTTAGGCAGATCGACAGGACTTTCTTCCAAGGTGACTCGGGGTGGACACCCTTTGGTTAGCAGCCAAGCCTGTTGACTGTTTGTCAAACTCCATGTGACTGGTATTTTCTCATCCTAGTGGCCTCGGAGGCCTTTGAAGATGACAACTGCAGCAACTTTGTATCTGAAGATGACTCGGAAACTCAGTCCGTGTCCAGCTTTAGTTCAGGACCAACAAGCCCATCTGAGATGCCTGACCAGTTCCCTGCAGTTGTGAGGCCTGGCAGCCTGGACCTGCCCAGCCCTGTGTCCCTGTCAGAGTTTGGGATGATGTTCCCAGTGTTGGGCCCTCGCAGTGAATGCAGTGGAGCCTCCTCCCCTGAATGCGAGGTAGAACGAGGTGAGTTGCAGCCTTCTCAGCAATAGTGCCCTGACCCGCTTGACTCAGAAGAGTCAGATCTTCTAGTCTTCTACACCTTTCCCAGGGCTTGGCTCCCTAGGACTGCATCAGTGAATGTGTGTGTGTGTGCTGCCAGTAGCACTCACTGTTGATGGTTTCACAGTGCTTTCTGACCAGCTTCTGGTAGAATTTATGCCCTATGTTGCTCATCGAAGAAGTCCTCTGGGTCAGCGCGTACTACAGAGGTATATCTGTTTTCCAGATGTATAATGAGTGTGATAAACTTTGTCTTTAGAGATGATTCTAGGATCAAGGATGTATACAATGCTTCAGGGAATAAAAGCATTAAGCAGATATAAGATGGAGAACCCTCTGATTTGCATGGTTGGGTAACACTTGGAAATATAATGGCTGAGTTGGATGACTAGCTTGGGCCCAAGTGACTCTTAGAATTGTCAATACTCACTTGATCATCTTTGTATTTCTACAGGAGACAGAGCAGAAGGGGCAGAGAATAAAACAAGTGACAAAACCAACAACAATCGGGGTCTTAGCAGTAGCAGCAGCAGTGGCAGCAAGAGCCACAGCACAGGCACCGAGGGCCAGGCCATGGAGACCCGGATGAAGCAGCTCTCCCTCCAGTGCTCCAAGGGAAGAGATGGAATCATCGCCAACATAAAAATGGTGCAAATTGGCTGATCCCTGCAGGGTCCTGGTCCACATGCATTATCGATATTTATACATGAAACTGTATGGAGAAGATTGTGCCAATAATCATTTAATATATGCCAAATCTTAAGCGTTTACTCCAAACTGCACTAATGAAGTTTCAGTGACCTTGAGGGCTGAAGATTCTTCCTGAAAGCTCTTGGGCTGGTTTGTTTTTCAGAGCAGAGGAGTTGTTACAGATGGACTTGTGACCAGACTCATGGCTTTTGTGGAAAGTTCCCTGTAGCGACACTGTGGAAGCAATAACTAGTTCCTATGAAGGAAGCTGAGCCAGGAAGGGTATTGGGAAGCTAAGCCAAATCATGGTCAACAGCTTGGTTCTCTTTCCCTTCTCTCAAGCTCAGTTTGGAAAAATGGAGATATTCTCTCTCCTTTCTATTCCAGGAGAGCTAGGTGACGTAATTAAAACTCAAGTACTCAAAGCACACGTTTTCTACCCTTCAAAGGCTTATTTAAAAGAAAAAAAAAAAAAAACTACTTAAGAATTGGATGTTTAGGTCAAGAACAGTTTTCCTCATCTCTGATGTGCAGAGGGGGCTTTTTAGAAAGCATGTGTGCTGGGACACCCACCTAGATGCTTTTGAAAACATTTTCTCGAAAGGTTACCCCAGGAGCTGCACTTTTTGGGATGGGTAAAGTGAATGCCAATGTGGGGAGGGGGGTTGAGGGTAGCAGGGGCATATCATAGAAGGGGATTTGTGGCTGTGGGGGAAGAGAAGGTTCTATAGCATAAACCTTACCCCACCAGCCAACGGGGCTCATTCTAAGCCAAGTGCATGTGAAGAATGGTTGCCATTGTTATATCTAGATTGCCAAGGTGTTAATTTCTCTGTAGGTTGTAATTTCAAAAATAAATGGAATTATTTAAGGGTTATGCTGCACTAGTATTCCTTAGGGGAAATTGTTCCTTAAGCTAGGAAAGGAAGTAGGCATGTGTTGGCAAAGGCTGTCAAATAGAAGCAATGGAGTCTGTTATGCTACCAGTAGTAAGTGTTAAGACTGCTTTTCTTTCATGTTTCATGGTTATACATATTTAAGAGCACTGTATTTTGTCCTCTTTTTGTTAAGAAAACTTAGCATTTCTAAAAGAAAAAAAAAACCTTTCCATTTCAAGTTGTCTATTAATTCATCACAGCTTGTATATTTTAGTCATTTGTAAATCTCTTCACACTGTAGTGACTTCTTTTTTATTGACTGACACAGTATCCTAATTACAAGGTTATTTTGTACTTGTCTTAATACTTTTTGAGTGTAATAAAAACAGCTTAAGACAATGTCTAACCTTCTGTGACTTCAAATAAGAAATCCTAAAGTCGTGTAAATCTTCTATTCCAGGCAACTGTCTTACCATAAGGAAGAGCATGGAAATTACTGTTTCAATAAAGGTCCTGGATCCTAATAATTCAAAGCCCCTGTTACCAAGGTTTTGAATTAGAATTCTACTTTCGCTGCTACTAAAGCCGAGTCATGAGGAAACACAGTGGCCGGGAAATAAACATTCGATAGTTACGCTAGGACTGCTTCTTGGTCCTGGCTGCACATTGGAATCTCCCAAGGAGTTTAAAAAAATGCTGTCTCAGTCTGATCCCCAGAGACTAATTTAATTGACTTGGGATACACTTGGGCACTGGCCTTCTAAAAGCTCCCCAGATGATTCTAATATGCAGCCATGACCGATTATCAGATGGTTCTTGGATCCTTTTGCTAGTGAAAATAATGTTGAGGGTGGTAGAGGTTTCATCTGTGCACTTCATATTAAAGCATGCTGTGGGGAAAGAGTGAATGGCTGGCCTAGTACCTGATTACACAATAGCAAAGTAAGCACAGGCTTGCTTGTGTTTACTTACTAACCTGCAGTGAATAGTTTCACATGTTTTTTATACCTTGCCTATTGGGTAATCCACCCCTGGACTAACCAATCATGAGGATTAAAATAGACATTAATTCAGAAAAGATAAACACTTGCAATATCAAATATAGACGTTTTACCTTAAGTAGTTAGCATTTCATCTATAAATGTTCATAACAAAACTCCTTTCAGTATAATTAAATGTAAGAGAGGAACTAAATCCTATACTTGAATTGTAGCAACCCTATTTTCAGGGTCCACTCAATTCTCTGATAAAATCCCTACATGTGACTTCTACTCTGAAGACACTTCCTTGAATTACTGTCTGCAACAGTTATTCCCTGTAATTGAGGTATCACTTTTTTTTTCCCCTCCCTAGGAGAACACAGTATCTAAGAAAATGGCCCAAATTGGCATGGTTTAAAGTTTTTATGATATTCAGCGGTTGTGAAGATAAAAAGAAAAAATTGTATGTGTTGGCATACAGTAAACACTTGGTAACTGGAGGCTACCATTTGTAGTCTGGCTTTTGAAGATTTTGAAATACCACTTCTTCAAAGGTATCTGGCCCAGTGAAGGTTAACCTTTTCCTCACTTGACATCTGTAGCACCATTCTGGAACTCTGCTGTAGAATTTAGTACTACAATGTATTAATTGTTCATGTTTAGTCTCCACCATTTGATTTCTGAAGGCTAGGGTTAGGTCATACTTCAGTTTGTATTCTGCACAAGATCTTGAACACTACACAATAGGTTCATCTAATAGGTGTTTATAATAAATACAGCTCTGATGCTTTGCATATTTTTCTTTAAAGGGCCATGGGAAATTAGTTAAATTAATTCACCTAAAATAATATGCTAAAATTGAAAGCACAAAACGTTTGCCAAAGCAAAATCTCATAGGTATAATAATTTGTTGCTACTTTAAACATAAAAGAACAGGTATTTTTGCTGATGCATGAATTTTTAAGCTAATAATCTCTATTAACATCTCTTCTCTTTTAGATGGAACACACTAGATGAAATATTTAAATAATTTATCTAGATTAAATTATGTAGTTTCCAGAAGTATAAACATTTTATTTCAATTAAAGGCAGTGTGAAATACAAAATAAGAAGTTTTTGATAATTATAAAGTAGAGACAATGAAAAATCCCACCCTATTAATTTTCAGAACTTGAAAATCTTGAGCACTGTCTGTTCTGATGAATTTTTATGTGAACACCTGGGAATTTACACATGATACTAGTCAGTATCTTGGCAATTCACTTTTTCTGACTGCTATATATAATGCAATCACCACATAATAAATTCTCAATTGTATTTTCTGCAAAGTGCTGTTACCATAAAGAGCACTGAACTACAGCACAATTGAAAAGACTATTCAAAGTACATTATAATGTCCTTCAGCATCTCAGAAGTTTACTACTTTCAATCAATCCGATAAAAGAAAAACTACACTAGTATAGAGACCTCAGTTCTCTTTACATGATTCAATGGGAGCTATGTCTCTAACTTCAACAACTTCCATTCTTAAGCATGAACATCTTTATGTTAATTAGGATTTCTTAAAGCTTTATTTTTTCCAGAATACTTGGGCAACAATAAACATTTCAAAATCATAAATAATGCAGAATTAAATTCTGGTTATGGTGACATGATTCATTTTGTAATTAGTTGCCCAAGATGTACAGTAGAGTCACAAAACAAGCAGGTTTAACTTACAACATGCTCTGCAAAATAAGGGGAAAATAATGTAAATATTTCAAGATATTATACCCACCCACCATTCTACTCAAAGAGCCTATGCCCCTCAATTTCCTCAGCTCATCTCAGTTCTCTCCTTAGCAAATGCTTCTCACAGTGCTGACTGTGAGTCTAATCTTTAATAATATGTATTTTTTTTATACAACATGGCCCCTAAACGCAAACCATCTCTATACAAAACCATGTAAACCATACTTCTGAGTGACTTAGGGTTATTCTGACTATGTACAACTCTCACCAAACTCCTGATTTGAGCACCAGATTCCACTGTAACACATTTTCAGAGATTTAATTCAGTTCCGACTGTTGTTTTTAGTGTCTTATTTGTGTCCTCATTTGAAGAGTTGATGTTTGGTAAGTATAAAATCCAGTAACTGCTGAGATTTCTCCATCACTGAAGTTGTGTTGTCTTGATGGAGTTAATACTATTGAAGTCTAAGAAAAAAGGTCCTTCTTGTTTAGGCAAAAAAGTACTGGGAATGACATTGTAGATACCAGCAGGTACATTTTCTAATTCTAGGTAGCAAAACCCACACCTATAATCAGGGAAAATGAGAACAAATGTTACAGAAGATGAAGCTACAAAAAGTTAGGTATCAATTAGATATAATCAAAAGGTTAACGTTACCTGTAGTCCCCACTAGATCTCCTCTGAAAGCCATGGGGACCAGGATCTCCCACCATAGAAACTGTTACCACCTCAAATCCAACACTATATTGCCTAGCATTAAAAATGAACAGAATCACTGCTATTTTTAATTTCAAGTAAATGCATAATTTAAAATACCTAAAGTGCAGATGTATTGTACTGTTAAATCAAGTATATGATTTCTAAAGCTTCAACAGGAGGAAACAGCACTCTGAAAACACATGCATATTATTTTTACACTTATGATACAAAATGCCATTTTTCTACTGAAGCCATAAAAACTAATAAAGTATTATTAAGCTTACTTTAAAAAAGATTATTTTTACCACTTGAATCCACAAGCAATAATGCAAATTCAAAAGATAAATACTCTGTCACTGTACCAGACAGAAAGAATCATCTTAAGTGCTGTTGATAACATTTGGGTTGTTTCCAATTTTTGGCTATTATAATGGCTTACTGGCCATCAGACCACCTCTTCTGTGATATAGCTGCTCAACCTTTTGTTCATTTTTTTAAGAAAATTATAGATTTTTTTTCTTACTAATATAGCATATTCACAAATCTTTTTCTCTATGTCTTAAGAAATCTTTCTTTTCCCTAAGATTATTAAGATAGTTCCTAAATTTTCTTCTAAAAGCTTTATTGGTTCTCCTTTCCCTTTTAGATCTGTAATCTACCTGGAACTGATATTTATAAAGAATATGAGACAGATGTCTAATGACCTTTTTTTTAATACAGATATACAATTATTCCAGACTATTACAGAAGCCTCTCCTTTCCCCACTCAATACCATCTTAATCCTAAACATGTCCACATATGCAGAAGTCTTTTTCTAAACTCTATTCTGTTCCACTAAGCTCAATTTTCAAATAACATCACTGACTTAAAAAAAATTACTGATCACAAACCTTGGTCCTCTTAGCTCAATCAGTAATGGCCCAGACTTATCTACATGGAATTGGTAGATAGGGTTATTTTTGTGAGTCTCTTGGAAATTTCCACATCCTCCAGCACTTTGACCACTCCACTTTCCATTAATCTAATAAAACAAAATTTTTGCATTAAAAGAACTTCACATTCTCAAATTCCACTTAAAAACAAAAATCCTTACACCTAAGGGGTGGGGGGCTAGCACAAAAGAAACTGTCCACCTTATGGCCCCATCTATCTCTTTTATCTTTATTTGCCATTGTCAGTACAACAATATAACTTTTCACCTCAGCCAAGATGCTTTGCTACATACACTCAGCCCTTTTTCCACCCTATTTCCCCTTTCAAGAATTCTCCCTCAAATCTTCCTGTACACATGTAGCCCACTCTGCAAAGTCAGTCCCAAATTATACTTAGTTCATCCCCATAGCCTTCTCCAATAAGGTTTATATTGTCTTCTCTGAATTTCTTACTTTTCCTTCCTGCAGAATTACTTAATGTGGTTCATGTAAAAAAAATCTCATCTTCCCACCTAGACTGGAGGTTACTTATATCTTCCCTTTGTATCCTGTCATACCCCAGAATGTTTTTTATTTCTTGAGAAATTGTTAAATGAAGAATAAAACAAGAAAAGGATAAAAGTAATTCTCAAACATTAAAATTCTGAGATTATGACCCAGCAAAGGATTTCTCTTACCCGTCTTGATAAGGTGTATGGAGAAGGGATTTTCGAAAAAGTAAAGCTGCATGCTGAATATACCTAGATTCAAAAACATTTACTGATTGATAAATGTTGTTTATAAAGACATCAAACTGATAAGAATATACTGAAAGACTAAAAAATTAGTTGGCATACCCAAGTCATTATTCTACAGATTGCCTGATAGCAAGTCAAGTTCAATTAACTGGGAATCCGAAAGCTAGGGATCTCATCTGAGCTTTTCTCTGCCACTGACAGTGTGTGACTCCAGACAAATCACCATCTCTCCAGGCCTCAGTTTCTGCTTCTGAAGGACATACCTCCCCAAGGTCTTTTTCATCATTAAAATCTATTCATGTTAAGCTTCTCTGCCTACATATGGCAAACAAATCTATAAAGAACAAAATTATACGACCTGCCCAGGTACTTCAGATCAGTATGTTTACAGGTGACTGACTTCCTTTTGCTAAGTCCAAAGGCTTATTTGTATGCCACTAGGAGTAGTATCGTGTAGGCTAGAGGAGTTTTTATTGCTTTCTTTAAAACTGAAATTAGTCAACCACACCATATTACCTCAAGACTAAAACTATTACTCAAAATATTAAAATGTTCATTTGAAATGTTACTCAAAATAAATACATTACTTTTCAGTCATTTTCTAAAGGAGGCATCATGATCATTTAATATACAAAGAGAGATATATACATAGATGAAAAACAAAAATATAGGCTTCAGAGAGAACAATCAATTTTCAGAAATAAATTTTCTCCAGTAAATAAAGCAGAGCACATTGTGCTTTGTCATTGTATGCTGGTTTTACTTACACGGACTGTGTAATGGATTGTGTTCTGTTTTTCATACTGAGAAACCACTAATGTAAAGGTATGGGTCCCAGGTGTGGTCAGCTTTATCTTAGTCAAATAGTGAGGGCTGTTAATTCGAATTCCATCAATGTATGGAGCTGGGTCAGCTACAAAAGTAAGTTTACAGAAAAGACGACTTTAGACTCCTTTTTGAATTTAAGTTTTATGGTTGTTGGCAGAAAATAATTAAATGGGTAGACATCACTTTAGTTGATTCTTTGTTTTCAAAATATAATTGTATTAATGAATTAAAATGCTTTAATTTTAAATAGTTTCTAAAAAGCAAAAGCAATCTTTTGAAATACATTAAATTACATATAATCCCTGCTATTTGCATTCTTTTTTTTTTTTCCCCCAGCAGAGGATTTTAAAGGTAGGATTAACTCTTTCCCTTCAGGATAATTTTAAAAAGCTACTATAGACAGACAGGTAGATAGATATGTATTCTAAATTAAATAAGTTTTTTTCCACCATAATTAATAAAACAAAATCCCCTTCCACCACCGTCAGCCTTATGGATAAATTTGGACATCTTTGCAGATCTTTATTTTTAATATACACACACACACGCATGCACACCTGTATCACCAAAATGAATGAAAAATGTTTCTGTGAGAATATATACCTTAAAAAGATAGTATGGTTTTATATCTTTTGTTTTTTACTCAACAGATCTGTTCTGTTCTACATAAATTTTTTATGTAAATATTGCATGTGTCACACAGCTTTTGCAAACAGTATAACCCCCTCTTGCATTAGTTTCCTATGTCTGCTATGCACAATATATTCATGTGTGCATTATTTATGTGGACACATTTTGGTGAAAAAGTACAGTATCCTTTTAAGACACCAGGCACTACACAACGAACTATGCAGGAAAGAGGCTGGGGTCTTACAAGATTTTAAGCTTGCAAATGGCTATCCAAGGGACATCAGCTGGTCTGTATTCACCTGGGGCAACAGAGGAAGGAGAGTGACGAATAGGAGGAGGAAATGGATGTGTGACTGTCTCCCTAAACAACTGCCTCCTCTGCCATGAGACTAGAACTGGATGGTGCCTGGTTACATTATTGAACATTTTGATCAAAAATTCCATAGAAGAATCCTGATCAAAAGGGGAAAAATATAGACCAGAATTTCAAATACTCATGGACTCCAGACTTTCTGGAGCCATGGTGGCTAGATGAACCCCTGAAACTACTGCTCTGAGGTAATCTTTAAACCTTAAACCAAAAATATCCCCTGAAGTTTTCTTAGAACCAAATAATCCTTTAGCTTAACAGTAAAGAATGTCTGCCTTGCATACTACGCTCTTTTAAGAACTATCTATATGGGATCAAACTGAGAATAGCAACTCAAAAGATCAGATAGGAACATCAGGGGGCAGTTTATGTTAATGGGGGAGGCTGAAAATGGGGCACAACTTGGAAAAGATAATCAGTGTCACTGAACTGTACATGTAGAGACTTCTGAATTGGTATATATTCTACTGTGTATAGTCTTAAAAACTAGAAATAAGTTATAAATAAAAAAAGATCTACTGTATAATATTCCATTGTATGACTGTGGTACAGTGCATTACCAGGTATGGATTTTCTAGCCATAGTCTTTGTAACACCCACCAAATTACTGGGTAAGATCATGCAAATAAAAGGTAGAACTCTGATATTGGGATTGGTTAGTTTTGTTACTCTGGCAGGCTTAAAATGAGGCCTCCTAGAGGTAGAGAAGGAGCTCTGGTAGCATAGTGCCTAAGGCACTTGACTGCTAACCAGGAGGCTGGCGGTTCAAACCCACAAGCCACTCCTCGGAAGGAAGGTTGGGCAATCTACTTCCGTAGTGATAACTGCCTCGGAAACCCAAGGAGGGGTTGCTAGGAGTCGGGGCCGACTCGATGGCAAATAACAACAACAACAACAACAGAGGTAGAGAGGGGATCTCACTGCCATCAAGAGAGAAAAGCTGGAGGTCAAGTAGAATGCATCCGTGGACGTGAGATCCCTGAGCTGGACCTCTTTGACAGACATACCCCAGTAAAGAGATGCCCAGGCAGAGAAAGACACCCCAGCAGAGAGACAGTGGCAGTAGAACCAAGACGCATGAGACAGAATGGCAGGCTTACCTGGCCCATGGAATGCACCTAAGGGTACCTATTGGCAGAGCTAAAAGAGCTGTGAAACACTTGCCAAAGGCGGGTAGAGGCCAGGTTGAGAGGCTATGGGGTAGAGAGGTGTGCCTGAGGGCATAGCAGAGGGGAGGCTGCCCTGATCGAAGAACTATATCCTGAGCACATTCCTTAACCTGGATTCTAACCTATTACTTCCCTCATATACCCCATAATCTTGAGTACCGTCTGTGAGTTGTATGTGGCCATTGCAACGAATTACCGAACCCAGTAGAGAAGAAGTGAGTGCCATGGGAGGGATGGCTGGTGTCAGGATTGGTAAAAGGCTAGAAGGTGGCGGCATGTCTGGCTTCCTAGGAATAAGCCTTGGGCTGCTGATGGTGATTCTGTCTTCCTCTTGTGATGTTAGAGGTCAGAAAATGCCACTCCCATGCTCTTTTTGCAATGACTATAACACATTTTAGGAGCTCTGGTGGTGTAGTGCCTGAGACATCTGACTGCTAACCAGAAGGCTGGTGATTCAAACCCACTAGCCACACCTCGGAAGGAAGACTGGGCAATCTACTTCTGTGGTGATCCTGCCTCGGAAACCCAAGAAGGAGTCGCTACGAGTCGGATCCGACTTGACAGCAGTGTGCATATGGTTTGGTTTTGATAACATATTTTATCTTTCTTCCAGTGGATATTGTTTTCAATATTTTGCTATTATAAACAATGCTGCCTCATATATTCTTTGATAGTAACACTGATAAAATCATTTTACACATATAAATTACTATGTCATTTAAGATTAATGTTATATAATTTAACCTATAAAGGAACACTGAATATTTATAACATAACTAATTTAAAAAATTAAATTTTCTAATACCATAAATACTAAGTAAGTTTCTAATGCTTAGAGGTGGAGAGGTAGAAATGCTTACTGTGAAAAGAGAAAGAATGGGCATGATGGGACTTGAATTCCAGTTCTATGACAGTGCCTGAGATCTTAGACAGCATATTTAACCTATGTCTTAGTTTACTCTTCTGTCAAATGGAGAATAAGTCCTACCCTATTTACCTCAGAATGTTGTGATGAAAATAAAACTACAAACTTGAAAATATTCTTAGAAATGTAAAGAAGTGACCATTTCTTTTTTTTAAATCCAAGGTGGTTGTTGTTGCTGTTGTTATGTGCCATCGAGTTGGACCCGACTCATAGCGACACCTCCCCTTGGGTTGCCGAGGCAGTATCACTACGGAAGTAGATTGCCCAACATTCCTTCCGAGGAGTGGCTAAATTCAAGGTAAAAATAATAAATATATTTTGTGGTAGTTCAGTTTGTGTGTCAACTTGGCTGGGCAGCTGGATGTAGTATTCCCCGTGATGAGACTGGTAATCAGCTCCATGGTAGACTCTACTGTGAGCAGCTTAGTAGCTGCCTTTGGGATGTGGTCTGCTTCCCCCATATAAGCAGCAGCTTTGGGAATGGTCTCTAGCTTATGGCATGCTTAGACCCTGCACACAGCCGTGTTGTTGTTCAGTAGCCTGCCATGTTCTGCTGACCTTGGGACTTACAACTGACTTAAATTAATAGCTTGCCATGTGGTTGGTAACACTGGGACTGTGCCTTTTTACATGCCAACCTTGGGTTTGTCAGTCTCAGCAGCCAGCAGCTGTCTGAGTGAAGAAACGCCTCTAGCTCCAGTGGGCTGGGAGCAGGAGGCAGCGCTGGACCCCAAGGTTGAGGGGCTTTCACCCAGCCCCTAGAGTCTGGCACTTTGAACTTGGACTTAAAGCCTCCAAACTTTAAGAGAATAAACTCCTGTTTGTTAAGGCCATCCCATTTGTGGTATACTCCTGTCAGAGCGACACTAGGTAACCAGAACATACTTGAAACCAAAAAGCTATATAACGTTTCAACGATAAGAATAAAAAAACCAAACTCACTGCCATCGAGTTCATTCCAACTCATAGTGATCCCCTTTGGGTTTTCAAGGCAATAAATCTTTATGGAAGTAGATTGCCTAGTCTTCCTTCCATGGAGCACCTGGTGGGTTTGAACCATCAACCTCTGGTTAGCAGTCAAATGCCTTAGGCACTACGCCACCAGAGCTCCTTACTGATAATATTTATTTTATTTTTGGTTGCATAAAAACTAACATGAAAAACATGAAATCTGGCTAGTTTAATTTTACATTTATTGGTGGACCTACTATGTGTTATGTTCATTCTAGAGTCTAAAGATATCAATGAGAACACTCTGCCTGCCCTCAATGCATACACAGTATAATGAGGAAGAATGCCATACTCTACTTTGAAAAAAATATCAAACCACTTTTGATCTTATTTTCCTCATCATTACCCTATTTCTTTATACAGTTCCCTTGAAGGGAAAAAAACTGATGATAGTAGCTTCCTTACCTCACAGACTCTTCTCAAATACTCCAAAAGGGTTCTAGCTATACCTCTCACTATGACTATTCTTGTTGAGGTCATCAATGACTAACAGGATGCTAAATCTAACAGTCTCCTCTCTGTCCTAATCAAACAGCAATGGATGCAGTTGTCCATTCCCTCCCTCTTGAAATACTGTCTACTCTTAGGTTATGCAATATTTCACTTTACTAATTTTCTTTCTATTTTGTCACTTTGCACAAATTCTTTTGCTGGTACTTCTCTCTTCCTTTGCTCAACATCAAGATGTCAGAGAGTCCAAGGATCAGGTCTTGGGTGTTCACTTCTGTATCTACAACTCTCTCCATAGGTAATTTATACAGTTCATATCTTCCTATGTCATCTATGTGCCTCTGACTACTCAGTCTATACCTCTAGTCCTTTCCTTACCCCAGAACCCTACTTAAAAATTTGACTCTCTACCTAGCACATTCACTTGGATATCTAATAAACCCACCGCCACTGAGTCTACTACAACTCTAAGCAACCCTATATTCCCCATAGAGTTTCCAAGGCTGTAAATCTTTATGGAAGTAGAATGC